CAATCTCAAATCCCCCAAAATTTAAAAAAAAAATCTAAACAACCGTAGACAGAAAAAAACACAAAAAATATACCCCTCCTCACCCCCCTTTCTTTAATCATCATCATATTTCTGCTTAAACACTCCCCTCTCCCGCGTATTCTCCTTATCGCCCCAGAAGTCGAGCCAGCAGCAGGTAAACAACAACATGTGTTTTATGTGGGACTGTGGCGTTATCACCTCCTGATGCCAATTATGGGGACATGTGTAAGATGCTCGCCCGTACCCTTGGCGTGTGCTGGCAGCATTCGCTCTGTCTGTCTGTCTGTCTGTCATGCTCCTGTTCCTACTCCTACTCCGCCTCTCACTCCCATTCTCATTTCCAAACCTTTTCTTGCCGTACTCCCACACTCACGACTCCTAATCTCTCGCTTTTATTCCCACTCCCACTCTCCCACTCTCACCTCTCCACTCCACTATTCCTAATGACTTCCACTTTCGAGTCTCATCTTTCAACTCTCGCTCTTACCCTATTATATAGCACTTGACAGCCTGTTCCTCTATACACGTCACCTTACTCCAGCTCGTCCCTCTCAACGGTACGCTAGCTCTCACTCGCTACTCCTCCCTCCCTTACTCTTGCTTCAATCCTTACTCATCCCACTCCATCCACTTTCATATGCTTTCTCGCACTAATTTGTCATCTCTTAATAAGCTATGGACAAGAAGGACGTCTAACACGCTTCAATATTACTACCTTAGGGTGGGGAGGGGAAGGAGGGAATATTTGTGGGACGGGGGATGGAAGGGGGGGGGGAGGGAGGGAGGGAGTCAGTGGGTCAGGAAGACAGGGTGGGCCAGGAGCCCAGTGCAAGACCCGTGGCATCTGGAATGGACCCCCATCAGCTGGTTCAGGTAAACACACCTGTCCACACTTCTGTCCTCTCTGTCTCTTGTCTCTCTGTCCTCTCCTCTCTCTCTGCTCTCTCTCTCTCTCTGTCTCTCGTCTCTCTGTCTCTCTCACTCTTCTCTCTCTCTCTCTCTCTCTTCTCTTCTCTCCCCTCTTCTCCCTCTCTCCTCTCTCCCTTCTTCACTCTCTCCCTTTCCCTCTCTCCTCTCTCTCCATTCTCCCCTCTCTCCCCTCTCCCCTCTCACCTCTCTCCCTCTTCATCTCTCCCTCTCCTCCCTCTCTCCCTTCCCCTTTTCCCTCCCGCCTCCCTCCCTCCCTCATTCCTCCTCCCTCCCCCCTCCCTCCCTCCCTCCTCTCCCCTCCCTTCCCTCCCCCTCCCTCCCCATCTCCCTTGCCCTGTCTTCCCCGTATTTTTCAATCAACTTTGGTATACAATCCCACGCCTGGCAGTCCCAAACGCGTGCTAATCCCGCTTGTTCTGGCCGCGGGGAACAACAAAACAAAATGAACTATAAAGCGGTATAAACAACTCTTGCATACCGCGAACACATTCCTTGGCATAAAATAAACACTGCAGAATGCAATACGCAAAAACCCACCTATGATGATTACTAATTATCAAACATTATCATTAATTACCATTACCTATTATCATTATCATTGCTGTTATCGTTATCATAAATTACCATAACTATTATCATTATTACTATTATCATTATCACTACTATCAATAATATCATTATTATTATCATTAATATTATTATTATTATTATTATTATTATCATTATTATTATTATTATTATTATTATATTAATTATTATATTCATTATTAAGATTATTATTCATTTATCAAATAGTCATTAGCAATAAAACAAAACTCAGAACAACAAACAAGAATTATCAGATAGAAGTCAAAACGATAATTCATAACCACCTAAAGGTTTTAAAAAATATAGCCAGTAATTTTCAAAAATAAAGTCAGAATCATAATGACTCATCTCTAAATAGAATAAAACGAATATACGTCACTATTTGAATAAAAATAACAAGCAGTAAATAATAAATAGAAAATATCATACAATAACAACAACCAGATATGCCCATGACAATATGCTCTTATAACATAAAATAACAATCAGTAAATAATAAATCGAAAATGATAATAATCATCAACCAGATATCACAATGAAAGTATGCCCTCATAAATAACAAAGAATAACAACTGCAACAATCAATCAACAACAGGACTCACCGTGTAGATAATCTGCCAAGTCTCCTCCGTTGCAGTACTGAAAAGATAAAAAAAAAAATACAATCAGACAATGATATACGAGGCCACGAACACCTGTCTCCCTACACACAAAGGTTGAGTCTATATATAACTTGAGAACATAAAGGTTATTATGACAAGGAGGAAAAAAATATATATATTATATAAACAATAGCAACACGAACAATAACAATGCCATCTTTTTAGCGAAACCAATGGTCCATCTCGCCAATCTGTCCCCTCCGAGAGATATCTATCGTTAGAGCCTCCAGATAACAGCGCGGTCGTGTTGCAACTCATGGTCACTACCCCCCCCCCCTCCCCCCGTGTATCTGCCTAAG